AACGCATATAGGCTACGAAAACAATATAGCACTAACGAAAACAAAGTTCAAAACTAGTTATGCACCAAATCACTAAAGTAAACAAACATAACATCCCTTTCAACAGTCCTGAGTCAAAATCCTTGAGAAGCTAACAGCTATTCTCAACAACTTTGAGTCGAACTCGTGGTGGTCAGTGCCCGGAAGGCTTTTCTCGTCAAGTGGGGTGTAAAACATGCGTAAAAGTAAATCCCTTTGTCAGCGAACCCTGCGAAGTTCCTCGAAACAGGACTTGCCGTCGTTCCTTCCCGCCACTTCGCAAAACCCACCTATCTCTGTGTTGCGCACCCCGTCCAATGCGCTGCGAGAACAACAGAAGGGTCCCCTGCCTTCTGACCGCTTACGCGCCCAATGCTTTTTTCTTCTCTTTGCTCTCGGGCTGTTCAGACGCTTGCGGTACGGCAACTTTTTTGCAATTTTGCTCCGCCATTTGAATACATTCCTCAAACGCATCGCGATTTTCTCTTGCCTGTTTTTAGGACGCTTTCTGCATTTTGCATGCATCTTGGTGCCATCTACAGAGTCTTTCGCCCACCTCTGATGCTCATCAGCACCCACATGCTTGTTAGCTCTTCTGTGCACACTGTCCTGGTGATTGCCTAGCAATTTATCATACGAACACTGCCGCGTACTATGGGCTTTTCTTTTTCAACGGCTCGGACGCATACGATACAGACCCGTCAGAGATGACAACGGCACTTTTGTCGCAATTTCCCTCCGCCCTTTGAAGCCCTTACTCAAAGCGCGTTGTGCTCATCGTGAGCCTTGCCTTACTGTTGCCCTTCAGATGCTTTCTCTCATGTGCACGCCTCTTCGCGTGGACATGGGAGCCTTTTGTCCCACTCTGACGTTCTTCATCATCGATATGCTCCTCCACTATCTCGCGTGCACATTCCTGATGATCGCCTATTAGTTCATCGCTAGACCGCGGCCGCAAAGATTGCGCTTTTCCTTCTTTTTCTCTCCGGCCGCTCAGACGCATGCGATTCAAGCCAATCAGAGAAGACAACGGGCCTTTCCTCGCGAATCCGCCACGCCGTTTGAAGGTCCTCGTCAAACGCGCCGCACTGATTGCGAGCCTAGCCGCGCTACCGTTTTTTGGACGCGTTCTTTGTTTGGAATACTCTTTGTGCCAAGTTTGGAGCGTTTCGTCTGCTTCTGACGCTCATCAACATCGTCTATAGGGCTGTAAGGCTCAATCCTCGTGGAACACTCTGTTAACCTTAACTCCGTTTCCACAACCATGGAACCCCCACACCCTGCTTCGACCGCGAGCTCTTTTTTTTCGGAACAGATTTGAATCCTACCCATGTCCTCCCAGGTATACTAGCCTTCTCTTCGGCCTCAAATGGCACTGCCGCTACATCGCACCATTCGTGCGTTACATCTGCAAACGTCCGGCCTGTAGCCTTCTCTACGGCTTTAAACGGCACCGCCGCTACATCGCATCATTTGTGCGCTACATCTATGGATGTCTGGCCTCTTTGCTGCAATGCCACCCTCTTGTGATGTATCTTTTCTAACTCCTCATTTAATTCCTTCACCTTCTTCCTGCGTTCTTCCTTTCTGCACTCCATTTTCTCTTTGTCCCAATTGCGCTTCTCTTCCTGATCTAATAAATACATATTTGCGAAGTGCTCGATTTCAGCCTTTTCAATTTTGCTTTCAAGAATTATTTCACGAAGTTGAGATTCAAGCATATCGTCGTTAAAATTTAGGTCGAGATCCCATTACAGGTTCAGCAGGTTCTCTCTCGTCAATTTCAGGACGTACATGACTACTACTTTGCCTTGGCTCAGCTGTGACAACACAAACCCACCACCGTTTCAATTCTGGGTCTGGGAAAATTCAAGCCTGGCAAATCCAACAGCGGAGACCACAAGCTTTAGCACACACGTAGCACTACGTAGTTAACCTCCCTCTCTAACCTGTTTCCTGTTTTACTCTACTGATTTTTAAAACATCCCAAACTTTCCCACAACGTACCCTTGAAACTCCGGCAAAACTTTTGTTCCTATCGAAATTGTCTAAGCTTCTTTTCCTTAACCTACTTGCTCAGATAAACATTCAGTGCCTCTCTGTGCTGAGATAACAACCACAGTGGCCAGGCAGTTGTTGGTTATATCTATCTTTTAACGGATCTAGGCCAAAAGACTCGATACATCTCAAGCACAAAGCCAGGCACTCACACCATCACGTGTGGTCGTGGTATGCTGCGCCGATACGTCCGAATTCCAGGGCTTTCGGCTGACCTCCAGTTTATATCAATCTCCACCGCGGAGTCGTATTCCACCGCTGCCACCAGTTTTTGAGAGCACCGCTCCCTCGTCAGTCACAGCACCACTAACGAATGTCACGAATTGACTGGCTCCTAAATTGACAGACATGCGTCTTGAATCTACTTTGATAGCAGGTAGCCGCCCGGCTCTTGAATCTACTTTGATAGCAGGTAGCCGTCCGGCTGTTCATTATCAGTTGCTGGTTTGGCCCTAACAATTGTCACGAAATGAGTTGCTGCTAAGTTATCATAGATGCATCTTTAATATTCATTAGCAATTAGTTGCCCGGCTGTTATCTTGGTCTGGTGTTTTAGCACCAACAAATGTCACAAAAGGACTGGCTCCTAAAATATTACAGATGCATCTTCAATCTACACTGATAGCGGGTAGTGACTCAGCTGGTCGTCTCACTGTCTGGTTCTGGCACCAACAAATTGCATGAAATGACTGGCTTCTAAATTGACAGACACGCGTTTTCAATCTACATTGATAGCAGGTAGTCGCCCATCTCTTCATCTGAGTCGCTGGTTCTGGCACGAACAAATGTCACAAAATGGCTGGCTCCTAAAATGTTACAGATGCATCTTCAATCTACACTGATAGTGGGTAGTGACTCAGCCTGGTCGTCTCGCTGTCTGGTTCTGGCACCAACAAATGTCTTGAAATGACTGGCTCCTACATTGACAGACATGCGTCTTCAATCTACGTTGATAGCAGGTAGTCACCCGGCTCTTCATCTTAGTCGCTGGTTCTGACACCCACAAATATCACGAAATGACTGGCTCCTAAAATGTGACAGAGAAGCTTTCTCAATCTACGTTGATGGCAGGTAGTTGCCTGACTTCTTATCTCAGGGCTCTCTACTCTTCAACACCGTTCCTCTTTCTTTGGGTTCCACAGGTTCTTCTTGCTTCATTTTAGCTTGCTTTTTAACACTCCCATTCTCTATATGACCCTGCACTCTCCTTTCTCACGGTCTTTTGAATGAAGTGTCTTTTTCTCCTCTCGAACACTGCCACCACAACTGCTCGTTATAATACTGGCCTGAGACAAGTGGCAAAGTGCGGAAAGTGGCATATTTAAGGCTCGTGTTTCCAAAGTAGAATCGGTTAATATACTTGCAGTGTATGACATGCACACGAGCTAGAGACAGGATGGGTATAGCTTGTGATTACGGAAGGAATTTACAAGAAATTGTTTATGGTACAAAGATGCTTGGACCATGTCCTATTGATAGGAGAAGGAAATCGGTGTTTACATGGTGTTGGTAACTCGACAGACACTGCCGCAGACTATGCAAAGCATATATAAACATCCTGGAAGAAATCTACAGCAGATCAACTACCACCTCGTGCTCGATGAAAAAAAGAGACATAATACCAATAAAGAAGGGTATAAGACAAAGCGATATGATCTCCCCAATGTTGTTTAATGCATGCTTACAGAAGGTTTTCAGAGGCCTAGAATGGGAAGAGTTAGGAATATGAGTTAAAGGCGAGTGCCTTGGTTACCTGTGCTTTGCCGATGAAATTGCGTTGCTGAGCGACTCTGGAAACGAATCGCAATTCATGATTACTGAATTAGACAAGGAGAGCAAAAAGGTAGCTCTTAAAATTAATCTGTAGAGTAAGAAAGTAACGTACAGCAACTTTTGAAGAGAACAGCTCTTCAAGATAGGTAGCAGTGCACTTGAAGTTGTAAAAGAACACTTAGGACAGGTAGTAACCGCAGAGCCTAACCACGAGATTGAAGTAACTAGGCAAGTTAGAAGTGTGGGGAGTGCATTTTGCAAGTACCCTCAAATCATGACTGGTGAATTGCCTCAATCCCTCAAGAGAAACGTATGTAAAAGCTGCATCTTACCGGTACTTACCAACGGAACAGAAACATGGACGATTACAAAGAGGTTTCAACTTAGGTTGAGGGCAACGCAACAAGCAATGCAAAAGAAAATGATAAGTGTAAACCACTTATCAGACAAAAAGACAAAAAGAGAGCAGTGTATCAGGGAACAAACAGGTGCTAAGGACATAATAAGCGAAGTCTAGAAGAAGAAATGGTCATGGGCAGGACAAGTAGCACAAAGGCAGGATAATAGCTGGTAATGATCACATACTCGATTCCCAGATAAGGCAAGCAGGTGAGGGGGAGACCGAAAGCTAGGTTGACAGATGAGATTAGGAAGTTTGAGAGCGCAAAAGTGGCAGCAGGGAGCACAGGACCGAGTTGACTGGCGGAATATGGGAGAGGCCTTAATCTTGCAGCGGGCATAGTCAGGCTGATGATGACGATGGTTACTTGAAAATACACAGACATGTGTCATGCTGGAGAGGTATTTTTTCAGGTCAGCAATTTACAACAGTCCTGAGTCATGCAAAAACCATGCAAAAAGATTGGTGTGCATACAAAACAAAGTAACAGTCTACTTCGCTGCTGGTGCCACCTGAAACAATTGTTTTTCTTGTTGAACCTCAAGCTACTTGCCAGGGCAACTCATGTGGCTGCTGGAGGTCATGCCTGTTGTTGTTGCCGTCAACAAAGAAGCATATATGAATTGCAGTTGGTGTCATTTGTCAGTTGATCACTTGTGGTGGTGCATATAAGCATGGTAGTATAGGTGTGTAGAAATGAAATCCTTTGTATTATGTTGATACCTCTACAGTGACAAGCTGTTACTTGCAGTGAGCCACCTGAGTGACTTTCTGTACCAGAAACTTCGCTTCGGAAATGATGAGGAGCCTGTGCACATCCTTGACGAGCCCACTATAGACGGCATTGTACGATACATCAAGAGCGGAAAATGTGAGTTTGGGAGCATGCTTATTTTGACAGGAGAAATAATAGTGCATGCATTCGTCTCTAAGCAAAGTGATATATTATAACTCATTCTGACAACAGATGCACATACCATAGGTCTGGTTTTGAAATTAGATGGCTTTAGAGATCACAACCTTCTACAGTTTTCAATCAATATCCCACTAACCTTTTCATTTGTACAGCATAAGCTAATCAGGGATTATAGCAAGGTAAATTATAATCAAATGAATGCTGAACTTGATGTCATCTTACACAATACATTTCTTCCCTCTTGCACCAACAGGTCTGCCCAAGGTAACTGGCTTTCCTTTAGAAGTATTATGGTGCTTTTCAGAGATATGTTACACTAATAAATATCACTAATAACAAATGCAAACTGTGGTTTAATAGATAGCATAGACCTTTCAGAACTAAAAAGAAAAGGTTATATGCTTGTGCTAAACGGTTATCGTCTCCCGAATTCTTGTCTAAATATAAAGACTGCTTAAAATCTTGCTCTCTTGCAGTTAGTGAAGTGTAAAAGAAATATTTTACGGCTGATCTGTCTACACTTTTGCACACTCACCCCAGAAAGTTGTGGTGTGCCATTTTGCCTGACTGTGGCAGTGACATGATAATGTTACATAACGCTGGTAATGTTCCTGTGTCTGTATCTGAATGTGCTTTAACCTTGAATTCATTTTTTTGCTCCATCTTTACAATTGAAGACTCATCATCAATTCTCTGCGTCGCTGATATTGAGTACTGCTTCATGTCTCCTATCAGTGTTACTGTCGGAGTAATATCTAAACTTACAAGCAGTCTAACGTTGTCTACGACGTGTGGTGTGGACAATATCGATTCCAAGTTACTTAAAAACACATCCACTTTGTCTAGTCAAATTTTATGCCACATTTTTCAACAGTATTTATTCACCAGGTCAGCTTTCCACCGACAGGAAGACTGCAAAGGTCATTCCGATATTTGAAGAGGGGAATAAACACTCCCCCTGGTACCTAGCACTCCAAATCGCTAACATGCATATTTTGCAAGCTGCTTGAACACATCATCACCTTTCATATTTAGAGTCATCATAAATCAAGTAACTTCTTCTTTCTAAAAGAACATGGTTTTTGGTAAACATTATCACTTGATACTCAACTATTAGGACATATGTCATATCCACATAATGCATGAAGAATAATAAAATCATTGATTGAATTTTTCTGAATTTTACATCATTCGACAGAGTTGTCCATTGTTACCTAATAGCTAAACTATCGGTTCATAGACTTGACTCATTGACATTTTCTTTGCTCCGTAATTCTTTATCTAATAGGCAGCAGTTCACATTTGTCAATAACTCCAGCTCATCTACATTTGTCTTGTCGGGATGTGTGTACGCGCGGGAAAAGGAGACAAGACCGTGTGGTGTGGATCCCAAACATCAACTAATTTTTTTCGGGTTCTCTGGAGGTTCCAGAGAGCAACAGAGGGTGGCGCTGCCTGGCGGCTTGGCTTGGCTTGGCTGCCGCCACAGCACTCCCCCTCTATTTAGTGGCCGAACGGAATTATAAGTCCACGTGAGTGGGGGCCTTTGATAGCCGCGCTTGATAGCCGTTGTGCATCAGGCGGGTGGGAACCTTGTGGACTTGGGCTGGCATTGGAGCTGGTAGTCCAGGCGATGATTCCTTTAGCAGAAGCAACATGTCGTCATGGCCCATGTGTGCTGTCTTGACGCAGTCTAACGACAACCTCCTCACCACCGCTTCTCTTGAATGTGAATTGTTTGTTGCCATGACGGAAGACTTGAAACAGCCCATCATAGGGTGGCTGAAGAGGTCGCCGGACCGCATCGTGTCGTACGAACACATATGGGCACAATGTGAGCTGTGGGTGGACGTGCACCACACGCGGCCACGGGGGCCATGGAGTTACCGCACGCAGTTTGCTCATGAAGTTGCAAAGGCACTACTCGTCACACGGCGCCGAGACAGCTTCCGGTTTGGTGGCACTGGCGGCGTAACAAGCTTTCGCTAGCAGACGAAAACGCGTAGTCGTCGTGGCAAGACGCCGTGGCGGCCGTTCTGAAAGAGCTTTGCCAACAGTATATTATCGAGATTTGTTGTGCTGCCACAGAAACTTAATACTGCGCAATATTAATTGGTGTAAGGCAAATACAGTATAATAATGTTTTCTGAACTACCCACAATAAACAATGCTTAATATATATAGCATGACATACGAGTCTGTCGGTTAGTTGCTAGTTGGTGTACGCTCGCAATTGATTTTTTAGACGCGAAAAACCCAATTACAATGTCTTGCATCCTCTTTTGTGGCAGTGTTTTTCGTGCTTGAAAATAAATTACAACTATGTAGTGCAACCTTGTGGCTTTTGTCTGATTATGTAGTAAGCTTTTTTTTCATGCCAGTCGCATTCTTTAGCAACTTAGACCATCGAAAAGCTACGCGTGCGGCCATTTTCTTGAGCATGTCTTCCCTCTGCTTCTTCTGGAGTTTCTCTAATGAAACCTGCTAACACAGCTGCAGCCAAAGCTTCGAGCAGAGACCGCACTTTGGGGTATCGGTGAGCACTTCGTACTCATTACTCACGAGTGTGCCTGCTGACGCACTGGGACAACATGAAGACACTTTCAGCTTTTTTTTGTTCTCCAAAAGTTCGGCCAATGGAGTGATGGTATCGGCACTGCCGGACAACTTGGCCAAGCGATGGTGACGGCTGCTAATGGTGACTGTCATGTCTTCTGCGACTACAACGCATCTCTCCACAAATGGCGCTCTTTTTTTTTTTTTGAGCCCTAGATACACCACAAGACATCTTGTCTCGCCATTCTCAACAACTTTCCACCAGCATGCAGCAGGCAAACAAACGTTGTTATATGTATTGAAGCGAAATGATGCCACTAGTTGACGGCATGTCGGGACTTATTTCACTGTCTTCAAGCTGAGTGCTCGGAGATAGTCTATTCTTTTTCGCTGATCATATTCTGGAAAATACCCCACTCCTATAGGGCAGCTTTCGCTTCTTTGTCGTGGGCCCCGCGACAAAGGTAAGCGGGCAAATTCGGGAATATTCGTGGAACACATCCTTCGACGAGGTCCCACTTTCCTCTTGTGATTTGTACCTTCTTACCATATGACCTGAGTGAAAGTCTTCAGGATGTCCTTTTTATGAAAGTGCATATCACACACACGTGAGGTGCTGGGCAGTTTCTTATCCGCATGAGGAATAGCGTGGTGCCATACCTCTCGCTGCTCAGGTACACGTGGGCACAAAAGAAATGTCATGGTGCCTCTCATTTCCTGTAGCTACTCTACAGCCGGGAACGCAACATCTGGGCATGATGAAAACACGCAACATATACAAAGCAGAACAGGGCGCGCTGAAGCACAAAACTGTTAACGCAGAAAGAAGCCTCTACAGATATCGACGCACTGCAACATGCACAGGCGATGGAGGTTACGGGAGTGACACGAGCGAGCATGCAGTGAGTGAATCTGGATGCGACAGCAGCGCCACATTTGTCACTGGCAGCGGCGGCGCCACGCAAAATCGCTCAGTTTTGCAACTTACCTTGTTCTAGAAACGTTGTCTTGAGGCGCTGACAAGCCACACATTCCCTTGCCCAGTGTCGGACGTCCGGATTTATGCCTGGCCAGACAAATCTTGCCGTTGCCAGTCTTTGGGTGGCTCTAGTCCCTGGATGAGACAATTTGTGCAAGGACTCGAACACCTGGAAACAGAGGCCCGCGGGCACAAACAGGCGAGTCCTACTGACATTTGTGTCGTAGCCAACCCTGTTCTCGGATTCGGGAACTGGTATTTACTCAAGATTCAGGGCAGTAGTCACAGTCAACATATGTTTCAGTTCAATTAAGTGGAATGCTGGGCCAGTTGGCATAACATAATGTGTAAATAATATATGAGCGCACAAGGTAGCAGGAAGGAAGCACTTGACAGGAAAGACGCAAGTGCTTCTATTCTTCGACCTTGTGTGCTCATATATCTCCACATTGTGTTTCAGTTCATCATCTTCACATTGAGTGGCTGCCAAAGCAGGAAAATCAACCTGTAGTGTGGGCATGACAGCGAGAGGGCATCCACTACCTCGTTGTCGCCGCCTTTGATGTGGCGGATATCAGTTGTGAACTCTGATATTGTGTTACAAATTTCAGTTTCGGTTCCTCGGCTGATACACAGTCTTAGAGCAGACCTCACCCATTGATTATTGCGTTTAACCTGTGGTTGCTCCAAGGGACCCGCGTTGTCGCAGTACCGAGATAGTGCATGTCTTGCATATGAAGCCTTTCGCAAAGCGTTCTCAACATCTATAAGTTGCGGCTAGGATGGCCACTTTCATGCGAGGAGAATTAGTGTGGGCATTTACAACACTCTTCTTCATCATCTGTACGTAATCATCATCACATAGTGTTCTTCGTCTTCATCTTTAATGGATATAGCTCTTGAGCCTGTTTTGTGCCTCAGAGGTAACTACTTGTTGATCGATGTAGCGCGTTTAGAAACATAGGACAAGGGAAGAGACAGAAGGGAGCGCTTACTTCCAACAAAATCTTTATTTCGAGGAGCGTACATATATATGCTCACGAAATTCGAAGACAACAGATAAACAGCTGAAAAACACTCTATTGCCATGCGCTAAAAACTTATGATCTCAAAAACGACAATTTTTTTTCACAAAAACCGAGAAAAGGAGTGCTGACGCAGTACATCCCTAATCTACTAATCTTTTCTGCTTCAATAATCTCCCTTGTCACTTAATCTTCCTTGAAGCAGAAAAGATTAGTAGATTAGGGCTGTACTGCGTCAGCACTCCTTCTGTGTCCAGGCACTTCACGAGGATCTGATAATCTCTAGCTCCAACATATGATCACATTCTTTTTAATGGATGTTCAACTTCTCTGAGGACAAAAAGCGAGGCCGCGCATGCATTCACGAGGATCTGATAATCTCTAGCTCCAACATATGATCACATTCTTTTTAATGGATGTTCAACTTCTCTGGGGACAAAAGGCGAGGCAGCGCATGCATGAGTGAGCCACTGGTGGTGATGTAGTGAGGTACCTCGTGCTTCACCGCGACGCTGGCTGGTGGCTGCCTCATCAACTCTGAAAAATTCTGCAGAATGTGAATGAAATGTTCTGCACTGCAGGGCCCGAGCAGAATAGTGCTCGGAGGGTGTTTTGAGGGATTGCCTTGCACACTTGCCTACGACACGAGATCGTGAAGGCGGCGGTTGCGCACGTCGACAAGAAGGCTGAAATGCTGAAGAAAGTCTACACCTAAGATGGTGAACTTCGCTGCTGTCATGATGAAAATCTACTGGAATGTCCTGTTCAGCCTAAATCGAGTGGCAGGCAGGGATGTCTGTAATGGCGGTGGTTGTGTTGTTGATCGCCTAAAGGGCGGACGCACTGGGGACACGGCGATTGGTGGACCCAATTGCCAACACGCTCACCTCCACGCCCGTGTCCACGAGGAATCGAAGGCCATTGTCGCGATCTGTGAGGGAAAACGCGTATGGATGACGTTCAGGGGTGTCTGGAGCAGTGTTCATTCTCAGGGGCGGCCACTCTCGTTTTCCGCATAGTCGCAAGGAGGAATGCATTTGCAAGCAGCATTGCCATGCTTCCTGTGATACCAGCAGATTTTTTGTTGCGCTGCTGGGTGGTGGCGCTCCTTGGGAGTGCTGCGGGCCTGCATCACTGAAACAGTATCGGCAAGGCGGGATATCTGCTCCTGGATGTCATGCAATGTGGTCGTAGATACGCGGTGGGCGATGTCTAGCTGTAGCGCCACCATGGACAGGTGTTTGTCGGCAGCTGAGGCGAAGACTATACGCATGTTGACCGCGAATCACTGTAGGAACTGCTCACTAAGCAGTCTGCTGTCGGAATAGGTGGTGGTTGCCACATGTGGCGCGACATTTGGCTGGGCGTCCGGTCTCCGAGCTCGGCGTTGTGCAGTAGCTGCTGTGGTCGCCGAGGCTCCGACAGCATGAGGCAGCTGATGAACAGCTGTTTGAGCATTGTGTATGCGTTCTCTGCAGGTGGAGCAACCAGTAGATCGGGTATTTTGCTCGCTATTGCCGGTGGAAGGCTAGCGATCACATAGTGGTACCTTGTTATCTCAGCAGCAATACGACGAGGGTTGAATTGGGACTCAACCTGCAGGAACTATAGCTGCGGGTCTGCTGTCCAAAACGGCGGATGTCGATGGCAAATATTGCCGGTGTGCAGACATGACCGCGACACGACAGTGGGGTGTGGATTCCAAACATCAACTGCCTTTTTTTTTTGGGTTCTCTGGAGATTTCGGAGAGCAGTGGAGGGTGGCACTGCTTGGCGGCTTGGCTTGACTTGGCTGCCACTTCAAGCTGCCGCCATTTTCGAGCAATTCAAGTAGTTGTGGCGCTTTTTTGAATGATGCACTACTAAATATATTCTAAACTTTTTCATTCTGAAGCAGCAACACAAACCTAGTTTCATTTGCAAGATCACTTGAGCCATGACTTATAGTGCTTGAAATGGCTGGTAGAACCATGCCATTTCTTGTGTGGTCTTTGTATGAGGAGGCATTGAGAGTTTGTTTTTTTTTTACCTTGCAGGCAAAAACATCATTGCTATGATAGGAGCTGGGATCTCTACAGGTGAGAAGGCCTTGTTTTAAGGTATTGAAGTGCAGAAGTGCAGTCCCCACCATTCTCGTCGCTTATTATGTAAGGCAACATTTAGAGCTCTTACAACTGTTTGTGAACAGAGAGAACCAGCTGAAGCACTTCTACGGTGAGGCTTCACTTGCTCAATCATCGCTGGTGACATTGGCTGAACACTCATGGTTCAGAACTCACTGATCTTCGTATGACAGTATAGATGAGCACTGCTTGAGTGCTTTGTATTGCTCCCCACTACATGTGCAAAGCGAAGATCAAAAACTAAAACAGTAGAATATAAAAAAAAAGTCCTTAGACTGTTTGCTAGCTTATACTATCCCTGTACTTCCCATCATTCCCATGGTGGGCAAAATATTGCAGCATCAGTTCCCTCTCTAAGTTATTACATGAGAGTCTATGAAGGGTTGCCAAGTGGCCGCTGCATGTTTTTGCTGAGAAGTTTTGTAATTTCTGGAGTCATGCACAAGGCCCCCGAAGAGCAGCAGGGGTGATGTCAGGAAGTTGGCTTGCTGATGCTAGCGGAAGCACATGATGCCCCATCATGGAAGTTTTCCTTCCTTTATAGATTTGGTGAGCCGTTCAAATAAACTGACTCACTTCAGTGAGCTGAGCTGTTCTGATCCGCTCACTGCTATTTTACCCATCTTCATATTGTCTGACCCACTGCAGTCACAGTATAAAAACAAATACGGCTCGTTGGCAAAATGTACTGGAATAAGACATCATGTGATAGAGCACTGTGCCAATCACAGTATGCCAGTATTCATAATAGCCAAGTGAGCATGCATGCAGCTTGTGTGGCTGCCACTGTAAACTAGCTCATGTAAAGAAACAAAACCAGGGGTCCTGCGAAAAGCAGATCGCAATGCATGCTTTTTACAATCCTAAGCGTGCAAATGCTACCGTCCCATAATTTGCTGAGATGCTGCAATAAGTTAATTTGAATAAGGGTGCCTCAATGCTAGTGCTTTTTTTAGGGCCCTAAATGTCACACACTTCGTTTCAATATATGTTAAAAAATGATGATAGAAACATATGGTTTAGCAAGCAGCTCTGAACACTGAGGAAGATGAAGAGATTGTACAATATGGCTAAGCACGTTATTAGTGCCTTTTGCTGGACAAGATATGGAGATTGCTTTTGAACATACTGTAAAACCTTATGCCCCATGAAGAATAAATTTTTTTTTCAGGCGTTGCCCTCGTCCAAGGTGTAACCTAAAAAATTGTTGGACAATCGTTGCCCCAGATGAATCTGCTGGAAAAATAATTTTACACACGGACACAATCCCATTCTTGATGGAAAGTGTCAGCATTATTCATTAAGCTTTATTTCATCTTTGCTCATGAATGATATTCGTTTTGTGGCGCGGGCTTCTTTGCTGGCAGCACGATATCATTAGAAACAGCTAGAGGTATGAAGTTTATGTCGATGTTACGTGCGAACTGAGCCCGGGTTGACGAATTGCCATTCTTAAATGGTTCTGAAATTTGCACAGTTGTGATGTGAGACATTGATAGGAGGAATGGTAGCACCAGGAAAAGTAGGAAATCTTTGTGTTTTAAGGCATTAGCCCCCTATGCATCATTAGCCTCATAGGCATGTGGCATAGTCATGGAGGCGAATGACCAATTAAATAATGCAAATGATAAATGTCTACTGGTCCGCGAAGCTCTTAGGCATTTTGCTGTACAAAACAGCACTGCCAATAGTGAATTCAGCCTTCTTGGGATATTTCAGACCTTCAGGTTTGTACTTGTGCCTGTCTCTAAGTGATTCGCTGTCGTGTTACCTAGATGACCATACCGTTGCTTTATGGTTTTATGCAGCGGCTGGAATCCCTGACTTCCGCAGCCCAAATAGTGGCATATACTCAAAGCTGGGGAAGTTCAACCTGCCATCACCAGAGGCCATCTTTGAAATTGGATACTTCAGGGTGAGGTTTTCACCATCATGTACCGTGCTCAACACACTTGAATGGGACACTAGAGTGGTGCATTCTGAACTGAATATCTGGCAAAAACACGTGGGTTTAAGGAACTCCTAATTATGCTGCCACCACTGTTGCATGGTTAGACAATGTAGGGTGTCTCAAACCAGGTGTATTTGGTAGATATCAGTCGCGCAGTTCTGAAGGTGCCGCTCAAACTCTGTACTCTCATGAACTTTATGGTCTTTATTTTTTATACAGAAAGTGTCATATAAACTGACTACAATGGGCAGTTTTAAAACATGTATGTGCATAATTCTAACTACAAATAAAGCATTAAAGTTCGACATGATACAAGCATTTTATGAAAGCATACATACTATACAAAAACTTCATGAAAGAAAACATATCGTAAAGGAACTTCAAGAATATATACATACGTGTATCAAATTATGAAGTTTCAATTTGCAGCACAAAAATGGTGTGAAAAAAAATTATGTTCATTAATGCTGTGCTTAAAAAGTCACCCTCGAATGTAACAGAAAGCTTTTCAGAAAAATTTCCCATATGTAATTGTGATGGTGGAAAGTAGGCCCAAGATCAAGAGTAATTCAAACAGCAGTCAGGCGATTTTGCGCACACAACACAGACTTTAGTACGCAAGCGATAACTGACGACTGGCATACAACACTTTATACAACTTTGTATTTACATCCTACATGTCCTACGCGCCTTGGCACAAACTCTTCTACTCGCTGTTCTGAAATATTCCCGCAATGGCGAGGTCGGTCGTCACCGGCGTTCCCTGTGCCGTCACAGTCCCGCTGCTGTGACTGTGGCGAGGCGGTGGGACTGCAGGCCAGTAAATCACCAGGCCACTGCAATACAGGTTAACTGCCCGTCGCCAACATAAGCCACAGCCACCTCGTGATACCACTCGGGCCCCAGGACCTCAGGCCAGGTACGCATGGCTGCACGGACGCAGCTCAAAGCAGGCAGCCAGGCTCACCAGGTCTGCAAGGTTGCTGGACGCCTGGTTAAGCAATGTCGCGACACGAACTGCCAACCAGCAGCTACCGTTCCCAAGTGTGTGGCGCTCCAGCTTTTTGAGGAGCACACCCCGCTTGCCCTTTCTTTTCGTCATATTCTCTTCTCTCTTCATTTTTCTCTTCGCCCAGTAACAGACCGCACAATCCACATCTTCACAGCAATGTTTATTCGACAGTTATAAAAGCACAGCCAACATGTACTGCTGCCAAAATTGCCATTTAGCCGACATGACATCTGTATCACAGCACTAAGTGTACATAAGTAATGTTTATTACCTCGTTGTAAATTTAGAAGGCCAGCACTGCAACCACTGCTGACGTTAGTTGCACAGGCATTTTCTTGCACATATGGTCTTTTCAAAAGGAGTTTGAAGCCTCAGGTTATCATGGCTGATGCCTCATTTTTTTGACGCGCACCTGTTTAGTTACCCATGTCTGTTCCAGTGTTGCTGCTTTCGGGTACGTTTAAACTGTGAATTTACTATGGCTCATACATGCATCCTGCAGCTCGTTTATGTGCCACTTGTGGTCGTAGGAAAGGATTTCATGATGCACACTCAAAAATTTTGATGTTACTCGTGTTACAACCACAATGGTGGAAGTGCTGCATCAGTCGTGCCGTTCTATGAGAATCTGACCTGCTACTTGAAGCTGCGCATAAAGGGCGATTCTCGCTATAATTGTCGATTGGTAGTGTAAACTGCGACATCTAGCTGATTGTTATCGTTGACTGATCAGCAATGAGCGTTGTCTACATCAAGAACGTGGCTGCATTCATACATTCATATCCAGTCGAGTTTGATTACGTTGTCATTCCGATCATCCATAAGGCTTGCTAGCGCTCGTCGCATTGCTGTTATCGCTGTGGTTGCCCTGCAAAAGTGGTGGAATCAACATGAGTAACTGTTAATTATCTAGTAAGACAGTGAAACTTCAATAATTTGTATCAGCTGGGAATGTGGCATAGTCATGCACTAAAAGGTATGAGAATTGAGGCTAGCCTGTCACCATTGCGCAGGCTTTTTCTGCCTATTTCTGCTGTCCACACATCCCAACATGACTCTTTCCTCCTCCGTGGTTTGTCGGCTCTGTGGGAATGAGAGTGACGTAGACTCCTCTCTCCCATATGTCGACCGTGGCGCTGCGCTCAAGTCTCTTGGGACGTTTCGCACGCATGTTTCGGGAATCGGTCAAGGAGTTTCCGGGACATCAAAGGGTGAGCACACGTTTTCTTTCCGCCTATCGGCTCCCTTTGTTTTGGGCTTTCTCGGACTTCGCCAATGGCACCTCGCACCCGCGGCGAACGCTTACTTTTCGTTGCCTTTTTCAAACACTAGGCCGAAGAGTAGTGCGGCGTCTTCGCCCGTAGTCCTACTACGCTGACCCGTACCTCTCGAAGCCAACGCGAGCGCAGTTTGTCTTCGCTCGTGCAATCAGGCACTGTTGTCCCTGATCGCGAGATCGCATAGCATAGTCGCTAGGGCACGTTTCCCTCAGCGGCCTGTCAACGTGAAACCTTTTTTGCTCACTGGGACGTGCTCGCAGCATCCTTTGTGTTGTACTATTCCCCCGTGACGAGGTAAGCGTGGTTTGCTTTCCCGCCGACTTTTTATTGGGCGCTGTACTGCATTTTTCGTGTTGCCACAGGCAATAAAGTGTAAGCCCGTATGGAGTAAGTTGGCAAGCTCATTAGTACTGAAAGTTTAGTTAACACCGTAGAAATTTTTTTTACCAGAAATAACTTTAATTGATGATGATGTTTGACCCTAGAAAGCTGTTCCAAAACTGACTCTTGTTGCTCTAATACACAATTTTTGGCTCTTCGAACGTGCTTCGAAACTCACCCTTTACTGCGCCACATCTGCTCTAAAGCAGCATTATTCCTGCTCCCTGAGCTGCTCCGAAAGACTGAAGTCCACTTCGACCCTTGCAATCAAATAGTCATGCTTCTCATACTCTCGAAACCACTTGTGCTAATATTAGTTAATGCCAATTAGCTTAAGAAGGTGGCCATGAGATCACCTATATTGACTTTGGCACGTAGACGTGTAAATAGAAACACTTGAGGTATCTTTGGTGCGCAAAAAACGCTTTGCATTTCAAATACAAATAAAAGTGGTGCTATTACATTGCAGCTTGTCACATTGAGCTACATCTGAGGGGTGTGCTTGCAACGCAATTGACACTCGTTGCCACCTTTATATTCCGCGATTTCATGCACAGGGCCTGCTTCATGTAAGTGGCAACCCTTTTGTAGAGAAGACTAATGAAAACCTGTGCACCAGTCTTGAAAGCTGCAGCAAAATATTACTGGCAATGCCGTGGGCACATTTGCACGCTGTCAGGACTCACCAACAGTGTGGAACAGCAAGTTCTGCGGTTAAGATGCAAAGATGTTTACTTTAAAATATTTCACCAGTCGGTCCTGTCTCACCAGTCGTGCCAGTCTCTGGTCTGCCTTTGTACGTAAACGAATGCCTTGAAGCACAGCACTGCCCAAAGAAGCTGAGTCATTTGATGTTCGGATGGCGCTGTTCAGTGTGAAGACATGGGGGGGGGGGGACGCGTATCATTTTTGCTAGATGACTTGGCGACCATTAAACACTGCCACGACCGCAAACGACTGCCCAGAAGTCTCCCACTAGCCCGACGGCGGGCCCTATTATGTGAACACGTCTAAGAGTCGCACGGTTCATGCATTGTTCAAAAAACATTGTTGCTGCCCCTTCTCTTTGCCTTGTGGGACAAATGCAGTGGCGTACAGCTTCGAATTCCTCAAAACGAAACACCATTGCTACGCTACCAATGCTATGCCGAAAGTAGCAGAGCCTTCTCTGCATCGTCTGTTTCACATGCCAGTGCTGCCACTGCTGTCGCTTGCGGTGCTTTTCAAGAGGAGCGTGGCTCATGCCGTATGAGGGCTGCTTGGGGCATATAATAGCCTCAAAAAGTTTTGAAAAAAGCATTGATATCGGTCGAAAATTATTCACACAATGGTCTACACCCTGTTTGTGAATTGGAAAGACTGGGGCTATTTAAAGTTTAATTGAGAAGATTTCTCACTCGAACATCCTAGTGATAATAATGTAGGCTAGGACTGTAGATATGATATCCAATAAATGTTTTATAGGAGAGGCCAGTATACCATAAAATCCTGCAAATGCAATGCATTTAACACTACTGATTAAACGTCACTTGGAGAGATAGGTAATTACAGAAGAGAATGGGGCACAATCTTGCATTTTCAGGATTTTCTAAAAATTAAAGCATTGATCAAAGTGAGCATTTAGAGCAGTGATTGGTTCATCATCTGAAAGAGTGCCATTTACTGAAGATATTGTCTTCCCGTAACAATATCCATACATCTTCACAGGTAGCATTCGCTCCAGCCATCTTTTTAATTTCTAGCCAAAATTTTTTTGGATTCGTCTGTATATGTGAAAAACCCTTTTCATAGTATTTTTCCCTCGCATCTCTCAGCCCTGAGTTTACTTCGTTATCATATATTAAATTTGGCTAATTAATTATTATTTGATGTTTTTACGAAAATTTGGTAAATTTGATGAGCACTAAAGTGCACAAAAAAGGAGGACACAAGAACAAACACAGAGATTAGAAGCGCTGACTGACAACAGTTTATTGGCGATAAACAGAACCTTATCTATACGAACTGCTAATACTCATTTTGCATTTCGAAGCCAAATGTGAAACTAACACACACGTGCCTTACCAGTGGAATACGCAATTTCTTTGGCTGATAAAGAGGTAAATTGCATGTTGAAGCATTTTTCTTCGAGACATGAGATATTATGAGTTTAAATGATTAAGCGTGTCATTTTGTTGTTTGCAATTATAGTGGAACATTGAAGTGTAAGTTTGTATCCACATTTTTCACATTCAACAGTTCCTGTTTTATCTCTCATGTTGTACTCATGTTCACAGATGCGAACTGTTCAATGCAGCGACCTGTTTGACCAGTATACTTTTTCTTTTCTTAAAAGTTAGGGTCTATCATTTTGTACACTGAAGCAAGTTTGGCTGGTGCAGAAAACAATTCGGTGACAACTACTTGCTTTTTTAGAGGGGTAATGTGACATGTTTCACTCAAGAGTTGTTCCGTTCCTGGGTACATGTTATTCCTCCTCATCAGGGTCTCCTTCTTGCTGGCACTCTTCTACTGCTAGTTTTCTGTGTGTTAACACACACGTGCAAGTGCCTTGTTAGAAATTCGCTAATTATAAGAATGATGAATATGTGAATATCATTTTAACTGCTAAGTACTTTGCTAGTCCAATTGTTGCAATGCGTTTTTGGTGAAACAGAGTTTTTTTAAGCCCTCATCGTCATGTCAGCCAAAAAGTTGGTCTCATTGTTTAAGCAAAAACAAAATGTTATTTATGCTTTATATTAAACAAAACCTTTAACATATTGATAAAGCATACCATTCAGTTGAGCTACACTCAAACCAGTAAAATGTGGGCAAAAAAAAAAAAAGTTCTGAGTAGCAGAGAGAGTGACACAGGAGCCACTGTCTCTGCTTTCTGCTTCTCAGTTCTTTTCTATGTCTACGTTTCAGAGGCTTTTTTCAAGTATAGCAACATACTAACTTGCCTGACAAACAACTGTCTCGAACTCAGCTAAGTGGCTCCATAATCTTCCTGACCTTCTTGTGGTGAATCCGCAAGCCTGGACAAAATGATTTTATTGATGCTATATGTTTGCCAGTTAAAGTGTTGTCTAATAAGGTAATGCCTCACTGCCTAAGTAGAATTTTTTGACTGCTGATTACCGTGAAGAAAGATAATTAATACAACCACCCATTTGCAGCACAAAGCCACCCACCCGTCTGCCACCTTGCGGGTTTCCACAGAACTCATTTGCAATACAGATGGCCTCAGAGAAGGCGGGTGCGTGGTACGTTTCTCTCCGGCCGTAGGGGTTGCAGATGGCTTCATGATTTTATATAACCTAGCGCTCATTGGGAAATGTCAAGTAAAGGTGTATGAGAGGCAAAGAGGGGACGTATGTATTCTTAAATAAGCTTTGATTTTAGGGGCGAAGCTCCTCTTAGTCTGATGTTGTCCTGCGTCAAGCGTAAAAGGCAGTTTCGGACAGACAGACAGACGGAAGCATGAACAGAAGCACGGATGGACACACGGGTGGACAGAAGGACAGACGGATGGGTGCTTCGCCTCATTCATCATCATTCACTCCATGAATATTGTGTGATTTTTTTTTGCTGTAGATTTGCACCCCACTTATAAGTGTGATGTCTCTGCAAGAGATCCGCATGTGCTGGCAAGTTACACTTCGAAGTTTGCGGGCTGTATAGTATGGGGGGCATCGGCTAAGAAGAAAAAAAAGTAACAGCCTGAATCCTAAGCAAAGTCAGAAGAGTATTGCGTTCTACACTCACGGGTCACGCTCAATTGATTGAATTGGGTTTCTTTTTCTTTGTAACATCGATTAAAGAATTCTTGTAGACATGCTGATGTAATCACAAAGGCCTCAGGTGGTCGAAGTGCGAATGGTCGGCCATTCGCGCTGTGACTTTTACGGAGCTCAGTGGATATGTTGGGCAGTGTATGAACTAACATCGAGATCTTTTGCTTGTTCAAGAAGAATGCAGCACGTGCTCAAACTTTGATGTATCTGGTATGAAACACTGAGCGTTACATAGCAGTGAAAATGTGCCCTTTTTATTTCTTTACTAGTGTACCTGAACGAATACTTCGTTTTCTTCGGAAAGACACCGTTCTGCAGCATGTACGACCCTTTGATTTGGATGCAGTCGAGAGTACAGTAAATGAACACGATACTGATATTGCCATTGTGTTACCAAACCATAATCAAAATACAGGTGATGAAAAAGGAGACAATGATAACTTAGACGCTTTCTCTGTGAAAGACATGAGGAGTAATACACGTCAGCTAATCGAAACCTTCCACAATATTCTGGCAAAATTATTTGTCACGTGATTTCAGTGATATGATTTGTGCACTAATTTATTTAGGGCGTAAGTGTGCTTCAGTTGACCACTTCATAAATATTTGTACGCTATAATATAATAAAGTGATGTGTCGTGATAAGAAGGCAATATGATTCAATGATAATAATTAGTCCAGTTTTCACCCAGACATGTCTTCAGAAAGGAAAAATGCAAGAATGCCTCTATATTTGTTAAATTGAGGTGTTTAGTATGAAGATGAAATGGCCCATAATTGAAAAATTAATACTACCGCAAACGAATTGATACCTCCTTACAATGATCTATCTATATCAAGAATATTCAGCAGTTTCCAGGCTTTTCTTCGTAAATTGGATCAAAATAAATGCAGTAATAGAAAAAAAAAAAAACACTTGCCTTCTGTGCAGCCAGAAGATTCTGGTGGTGATTCTCACTTGTACGCGAAAAAAAAAAAAGAACCACGCACACGCTGTAATTCTGTGCGCTGTGCTTTCTGCCATGGTCTTCACTGCCACCGGAATCTACACTGATTGAGCCCTCTCGTGGTTGCCCGGTGCGCGAGGTGTTGGGGAGCACGGCGATTGGGATGGCTGGAGAAAAACACACCGCATGCTCGCCATTGCGGAGGCTGTGCAATACACCTAATTAGAGAGACATTGTAAAAAACTAAGTCAACATATTTCAGTACAATATTTAACTTGATTTAACGAAGTGATAACCACACTCGAATTATTTTTCTGAAATGGATGATTCTTGGTCTTTCCAAATCTAAAATTCCTGTGTAGTGATGCCAGAAAGCTATCACTACATTGTGTTTGTCTCTAATCCGCATCTGCTTGTGTAAAGTGTTCAAATGTTCATGGGTTGGCTCATCTTTAAAGGCTTCATGGCAGGGCAACACAGCAGTGACATTAGGCTATGACAGGTTACCGATATCTGAAGCATGTGGGCAAGGAATGCAGTAATTGTTTCAAGCAAGAAAGTTGTCAGGAGACTGTCAGTTCTTTATTTCACATAAACTGTGAAGGAACAAATGCTACCAACGCCGCCACTAGCACTACGCTGTACATGAGAGCACTGCTGAGTCCAGTGTTTCGTGCATTAGAGAAGCGTGCAGCTTTGTCAGATAAGCGGTAGTTCATCATTAGGCTGCCTAGATGTTTTAACACTCAAGAGAAAGCCTGTCTCCGTTAAAATTAGAAAGAAATCGCTGCTCTTTTCTCTCTTGTCTTTTTTTTTTCTTTTTTTCAGAAACAACTTCATCAAACTGGGTTTATAACGTTAATTTGTTGGTTTGGGTTGATGGCAACAGTCAAGCTTAAGGTTGTCTGTTGGATAATGAAGGTTTTTTTTTATAAGACCAGGAATTTTGTAAGATCCAAATTTTGCAGAATGTCGGGGCGCATGTGCTCTTCTCTAGCAGAAAAGATGTGAAATGTCTCCTGCTCACGGAGGCCTTTGCTCTAGCAATGCGAATTGTCCCGGCCCCTACGAAAACCCTTTCAAAACGTCATACGGCAGCACATGCTAACGAAAAAGGCAGATCGCATTTGTGTGGCTGAGTTTTAACGGCGCACATTGTGCTCCTTTTGCAGAGGAATCCGGCACCCTTTTATGCCCTGGCTCGCCAGCTCTTCCCGAAGAATCTTAAGGTGAGTGCACTGGAAGCTGTTACAGGAAAGTGCTGAGACATTTACTGCGAACTTAACGAAGAAAAGAAAGACTCATTTCATTATTTGACACAGCCTTAAATGTACACTTAAACACTTATAAAAAAAACGGGGTTATGATGTCATGATACGTAATTTTGTGCAGCGAACCCGAAAAATGAAGTAGAAAATGGGCATAAATAGATACAAATAACTATTTTGCCGGAAACAAGCAAAAGGCACTGCTGCTGTGATTGGTCGAAGCTCCATGACATCATTAACAGGAAGGTGAGGACAGCTGACTGCGCTCTCCGGCAGGGGATGCTGGGTTTATCTGTTAAAATAGGGTAGTTGTCATTAATATGGCAAACTGTAGAAGTCGTAATGAGTTCGCTGTACATCTGTGTATGTTCGAGTCGCTCGGCAATGTAAGAGCGACGATCAAAGACGATGTCAGCTCCGATCATGTAGCACAGAAAAGTGAGCTCTAACCAGCCACCTTCACCTGCATTAGAATCACTTGTAAGATGCAGGTCAGTGCTTCATTTCACTGTAATAGACTGATAAAAATGATATGTTCAACCGTAGATGTTAAATCCGTTGAAGGAACAGCAGCACTCGCTTTTAATCAGAACAATGTTGTACAGGCCTAGCATCTGAACAAGAAAGCTAAGGGAATGAACACTTTAGTTGCTAGCAGTACGTTGGCTTACAATATGGGCATTTGGAAGTATTCACTGTTGTGAAATCTGTCCCACATGCAATGATCGAAATCAAGAAAACCTTTATTTAGATCAAGCAATGCTAGGCGGACAGCTTGGACTACGATTATGCTTCATGTGGTGGTATTTGGCAGTGATTCAGTGTTATCGTAACAATTAAAAGTCTTCTGAATCATGATATGAGTTATTGTTGTATCAATGCATTGATTATTCTGGATTTTGATAAAATGTTATTACCCGAGCCGGAATCGAATTAAAGCGCTTGTGTTACATGGTCTCTTTCGTTGGCGGTCAAGCCTGGCTCTGATAAATATTCTTTAAAGGTGCAATTGGATGCTGTCGCTGCAACAGGGAGATCGTGGCCTACTGAGTGCCTGATCGAGCAAAGCTCTGTATTTACTCAAATCTAGGCTGACCACGATTCTAAGCCAACTCCCGAAAGATTGAGGAGGAGGAGGAGGAGGAGGAGGAGGAGGAGGAGGAGGAGGAGAAGGAAAGAACTTTATTCAGAGTCCGGGGAGTAGATGGGGTGGGCGATTGGCCCCGCCTAGGTTACGGCCAGGAGTCCTTGAATCCTGACGGCTTCCTCGGCCCGCTGGATGGCCCACATTTTGTCTTCGAGGACGGAACTGAGCATTGGGGCTTCCCAGTGCGCGCGAAGGCTGTCAGCAGAGGCCGCATACTTGTTATGAGTACTAATCCCTCTACATTCCCATAACATATGCTCCAGAGTGGCTCTGGAGTCGCAACGCTTGCACCTGTCCGCTTTGTATATATCAGGATATATAATGTGCGATAGTGCAGGATTCGTATATGTCCTAGTTTGTAACTGCTGCCATTCGACAGACTGTCTTTTTGTTAATTTTGGGTGAGGGGGCGGGAATATGCCCCTCTGTAATCTATAATGTTTTGTAATTTCATTGTATCTGGTCATTCTGTCTTCCCACTCCCACTCGTCTGCCACGCCGTAATCACCGGAGGAGGTTGGGGCGGCACTTGAGAGGGCAGCTCGGTCGGTGAGCCCTCGAGCTGCGTCATGTACAGCCCCGTTGTTGCTGTCCCCCGCAATGGCATGAGCAGGTGTCCATATAATATATGTATTTCTGGGGCTTGTTCGACACCCTCCTTTGAGAATACGTAGTGCCTCCGGTGAGATGCGGCCATTGGCAAAGTTTCTCACTGCCGTTTGAGAGTCACTGACTATCACGGTTGCGTTTTTCTGAGCTACTGCAAGCGCTATGGCTACCTCTTCTGCTGTCTTGGTACTTGTGGTGCGTATCGTCTCGCATATCGTACAGCATTTGTTGCTATCGATTACGGCTGCGGTAAACCCCCGCCTGGGCTTGTGTCGAGCAGCGTCTACGAAAACTGCGTCCTTGTTATTACCGAACTTTTTTTGTATTTGTTTTGCTCTTGTGTCTCGTCTGGCCTTATTGTGTTCGGGGTGCATGTTTTTTTGGCAAGGGTGGTATCATCATTGTTTCCCTGGTCTCTTTCGGGATGCCCACCTTAACGCCGTGTTGCATGTGATACGTTATGCCTAGTCGCTCTAGAATATGTCTTCCTGCTCTTGTCTTAGAGAGACATTCATATTGCGCCGTACGCTGCGCCTCAATAAGCTCATCTATTGTATTGTGCAGGCCTAGCTGTAACAGTTTGTCGGTGCTTGTGCTAATCGGTAGCCCTATAGCTAGTTTGAATATTTTTCGAATGAGGCAGTCTAGCTTGATCTTTTCCGCGACTTGTCATTTTAAGTATGGCGCTACGTATACTATTCTGCTTATCACGAAAGCCTGTAGCAACCTTATCATGTTTTCCTCCCTCATGCCACTGTGCTTAGTTGCTATCCTTTTTATGAGTCTCATTATTTGGGCTACAGTTGCATCCAGTCGCCTGAGGATTTCGCCATTGTTGCCCTTGGCTTCGATGAGCAGACCCAGTACCCTGATCCTGTCTACTATGGGTATGGTTTTTCCATCGGCTGTTCTTAACTGTATTTCATCTCTATGAGCGAGATCTTGCAGGCAGTTGCCTGGTTTGCGACCTCTACGAGTAGGTCTGTACAGCAACAGCTCCGATTTTTCCGCAGAGCAGGCTAGCCCAGTACCTTCCAGATACCGCTCGACCGTTTCGACTGATGTTTGAAGCGTTTCCTCTATTTTGCCATCACTACCACTTCTCACCCATAGGGTGATGTCGTCTGCATATATAGTATTATTCAGTCCTTCGATTGCTTGGAGTTTGGTTGGCAGTCCAATTAGACCCAGATTGAGTAACATAGGTGATAATACCGAGCCTTGCGGCGTACCTGCAGTGCCCATCTCAATTTCCTCCGAAATTAGGTCCCCTATCATGATCTTTGCCTTCCTTCCTGTCGGGAAATTACGCACGTAATTGTATGTCTGTTGTCCCAGATCTAGATCGTTTACCCCTTTTTAGCACCGTTGCATGGGTTACATTATCAAAGGCCTTCTTGAGGTCTAACCCTAGAATGGCCTTTGTCGCAGTTCCGGGATTATCTATAATCTGATGTTTTAACTGTAGCATTGCGTCTTGCATTGAGAGGTTCCTCCTGAACCCTATCATTGTGGGTGGAAGCGCATCCCGGTCCTCGAGATAGGTAGTTATCCTCTCCAGAATCCCGTGCTCCATGAGTTTCCCCACGCAAGATGTGAGAAATATGGGTCTCAAGTCCGCAATCTGCCGTCGCTTGCCTGGCTTGGGTATTAACACGATTTTTGCCGTCTTCCATTGTTGCGGAATCTGTCCTGCCTTCCATGATTTGTTAATGAATTCAGTTAAATAAGTTATGGACTCGTCATTCAAATTGCATAGTGTTTTGTTAGTTATGCCATCTGGTCCAGGTGCTGATCTAATATTGAGTTTGTGCAAGACGGCCCTCACTTCTGCCTCCCCGATCTCCTTGTCTAAATCATCATTTGCCAGCCCTCTGTAATCGGGGTGTGTAACGGGAAGTGCTTGAGAGATGTATGTTTTTTTGATTTCATTCAGGAAATCCTGCTCTGTACCTTGATATCTTTCTATTAACTGATTAATATTGTGCCTTTCTGCCAACTTGTTTTTGTCCGGGTTTAACAAATGTCTAAGGATGGTCCACGTTTTCGCCATTCCTATCTGGTTGTCCATGTCATTGCACTTTTCCTCCCATTGTTGTCTGCACAGCTGCTGGGCGTATTGCTCTATATTCCTGTTCAATTTAGCTACCCTTCTATGAAGTGTCCAGTTGTGCCTTTGGTTTTTCCACTTCCGTTGTAAACCTTCCTTAGCTTCCCACATGTGGAGAAGCTTATTGTCTACATACTCTAGCTGCGCCTCCGTTGGCATCGTTTGCGTAGCGGCCTCCATGTCTCGTTTTAACTTTTCGGTCCATTCGTCAATACTCTGTATTATTTTGTCGGGCTCCTCTCTGATGTTCCGGAACTTGTCCCAATCGACAAGTTTAAGTTGTCTGCCTTTTGTCTTCCGCGGCCCTGCCCTCACCGTTATTTCAAGTATAAAATGATCGCTTCCCAAGTGATGTTGAGTATTGGTCCATTGCGTGTTCAGTATGTTTCTGGTGAACTCAAATCTGGCGTAGTATCCGCGCAAACGCTAGTACCTGTTCTTGTAAAAATGGATAGATCGGTCACGAGCGTCAGGCCCTCCTCCTGTGCGTCCAACCACAAGTTCCTGCCTTTCTGGGTTTCGATCCTGTATCCCCATGCACCGTGTGGGGCGTTGAAATTTCCTCCAATCACTAGCGGTCGGTTGCCCATTATAGCGAGGGCTTTTCGAAACAGCGTGCGGAATTGGTGCTTTCTGCATTTAAAACTGCTGTAAATATTCAATACAAAAGGACTGTCCTCTGTGTTCTGCGTCGGTATGAGTTCGAGGAGAATGTAATTTATTGCCTTGATTTCCGTGTCATGTTGCACCACCGCGCGATTTCGCTCAACAGCGTTGCTAACACCTTTGTCTCCCCATCAGCACTGCTGAATGACTTATATCCCGACAATTTGGCCAGCCCGTGTGTTTCTTGCTCCATTATAACATCCGGGGTGCTGGAGTCTAAGATGTTGTTGCAAAATGTATCGTTTTTGATTATATCCTCGACAATTCCATTGCCAAATCGTGTAGCTATTTTGTCTGTCCATAGCGGCGTTACCGGCTCTCTAATCCCTTGGTGGGCACCGAGGTCCTAGCGTACGGTTTGAAAGACGTCTTAACTGGGCCCCCACCACTTGAATGCGATCCCCATATTACTAGCTTGGCGTCGAAATC